GCGTAGCTGAGCGTCGCAACCGCACTCTTATGGATATGGTACGTAACATGCTTAGTCATGCGAACTTACCAGTAAGCCTTTGGATGGAGGCATTGAAAACAGCTGCACACATCCTAAATCTTGCTCCAGCTAAGTCAGCACCGAGCACACCTTACGAGATGTGGGCGGAAAAGAAACCGAGCTTGAATTACTTACGAGTGTGGGGCTGCCCGGCTGAAGCTAAAGTATTCAATCCACATATTAAGAAATTGGACCCAAAGACAGCTAGTTGTTTTTTCATTGGGTATCCTCATAGAGGAAAAGGATATCACTTTTATTGCCCAGGTCATACCACCAAGTTTGTGGAAACCAGGCAAGCGGTGTTTTTTGAGGATAATGAAGTCACTGAGGTTAGGGCGATTGATCTTGAGGAGAAGCGGGTGTATGTTCCATCCCCGACTATCCAACAGAACTTTATCCCTATGCCTAATATGCACGAGACACCTACTGGTGATCTTGAACCTGAAGTGGATCCTCAATCCGACGAGGAGCCTCAGCATAATGAATATCCTCAGCATGGTGAGGATCCTCAGCCAAATGATGATCCTCAACCCAATGTTAATCCTCAACCTTCTCGGGCAAGAGAAAATGCACATACTAATGAGCCTACGAGAAGATCACAACGGGAAAAGAAAAAGGCCATCTCTAGCTATTTTGCCATTATAATGTTTCGTTAGATGGGAGGGAGATTTGATTCGGTCCAAAGGTTTTCTCAAACAAAATTTTAAAGGGGGGATGGGGGAGACACAACTTTTGCTGAAAATTAACATTTTCAACTCAGCACAAGTGTATATAACAAACATTATATTAAAAATATTTAATAGCATTGTAATGCTGCAAATTTATTTTTAACCATGAAACCGTAAAAGAAGCACTAACATGTTGCTAATTGCATTATGTATAATATAAATTATATTAAATAAAATCTTTTTTGATGGAATAGATAATAAATAAGTATATAAGTTTGGTATAAATAAATAAAAAAAATTATTTAGTTGGCTTAGCGGTGCATCATATATGTATAGCCACTCAAGTTCAATAAATGAACTTGTTTATTTGAATAATTCTAAGCAAAAATTGTAGTGAATCAAAAAATAACTAAAAACAATGAAGTGCGTAAAGCCGAAAATACTATGTTTATGTTTTATCCGATTCGATTAAATAACTAAATCAAACATATATGCATGCACAATGACATATTATTTTGTACGAAACAATATTAATAAATTTTTTATAATGTTTGCAATATTTTATCATAATCAAGTGTAATTTCATATATAAATGATTAATCAATGCTACAAGCATTTACACATATTCATTTTGAATTTCAGCATCATTTTAATTATGTTTATTTTGTGTTTCAGTTTGTATTATGCAATGACTCCCCCATTATTACCTAAACTGGAATGTATAGAGTCTATGCAGTATAAGTTTAGATGATGATAACCTATGTTTAATCAAACCTACATCCGCTACCCGTCGTTTGTGCTCTTGGCACGTTTACTGGACACGCCAACTAAGATGGTGCCAACCGTAGGGACCACAAGTGAAATGATTGTGTTTTTTTCTAAAAAGTTAATCAATTTTAAAACAACCACGAACCTAAAACATATTTATAATTTTTTAATGTTCATGCATTGAAAAAACATAGAATTAGAATGCAAATGGGAAAAAGAAAAACAGAATAAGTAAAATGCGTAAGCCCTCCCCCTCTCTCTCCTATCGGCCGAGCCTTGTTCTCCGCACATGAGTTCCGACCTCTCGATCGGTGCGTGGGTTTCCGACTCATCCACCTCTATTTGTTTCGTAAGTGTTTTGTTCGGAGCAAGATGCTCCTTGGGAGCGCTTAATGTGACGCTCCCAGTGTCAATTTGCTACTGTTTCGCGTAAGTGAACCCCCAACCAGGCCAGGCCCATTCCAGCGCAGATGACACTCGGGACTGTAACGGATCTGTAGCGACTTTGGGTACTGTAGCATTTTAATGTTCCATTCGTTTTTTCCAAAAGGATCATTTGAAAAGGTGAAGAAAAATGCAAAAGAATCTTATTTTTTTATCATCTAAGAAAACTTGTTTTTCGTGGAATTTTTTACTACTTTTTAAAAAACTCGAACATTTTCTAAAACACAATACTTGTTGGAATTTTTGAAAACTTTGGAAAACACCAACATTCTTCTAAAAACATGGAAAACTTTGAAATTCCCAACATCTTTTGTAACCCGGTTTTTTTAAAAAAAATGCAACAATTTTTTGAACGCGTGAACATATTTGAAATTCTGGGAAAAATAAACATGATTTTCTTTGAGTTTGTGAAGTTTTCTTGCAAACACAAACTTTCTTGGACAGAGAGAACAATTTTCGAAAAATGCGATTCTATAGAAAAACAGTAGAGAGAAGAGAAGAGTAAACAAAAAATGGTCAGGAACCTTCTAGAAGGTTCCCAAAACCGGGTCCTGTGTAGTATGTACGTTTGCTACCTACAAATGGGCTGGCACATTTACCTCGCTCCCTTCCCTCACTTGTGCATTTCCTCGACAGTTTGACGCAGCATGCATCAAATAGGAAACACCTAATGGGGGTTAGTATGAAGGCATCGAGGAGTCTTATGAAAGATGCATCGTCAAGCTCAGACGATGAACCAGACGGTAAACATCCTTGTAGTTGTAGTGATCAAAACAGGGACCACAAGGATGCAAGCCAGGAGCAACAAACCATGATCATGTGCAGATCGAAATAGGAGTAACATTCTCAAATTCATAAAAACATACAGCTATACGGAGGGAGCGGCTTACAACAGATCCTAACATCTACATAGCCAGTCACATACATTCACTTGTGATCAAGATTTGGAAGTGCCGACGTGATGGAGTGCATCACGATGTGCACGATCCTTAGCTTTATTTGTCCACGACGTGGCAGCGGCCGAACTCCGCTCCGCTTGTCTCCCTTGTAGACTCCAACGAGATCGCTGGCACAGATTCTCTCGCCCATGGTGGTGAAGCAGATGTCTGTGACTGAACTTCCTTGCTTGCACTTATGCTTCTTCTTTTTAGAAACTGCTTGCACTTATGCTTGATGTGTGATCCCTGCGTGGTCGTCTATTTATAAGGCTTCAGGGAGCTTTATCTGGATGCAAAGACATGACAGCTAAATCATTGCTCCTTTGTTGTGTTATTGGAGGGCGCCGTCGACTGTATTTGGATGATGTAAATACAAACTCTGTATGTAGTAGTGTCTGTTGTTGGTATGAGAAGCTCCTGTTGATCTGTTTTGTCCCAGGCATGACCTGGGGTTGTTTGTCCCTCCAAATCCTTGACTCTTGAACAGACGTTGTGTGCACCTGTTAGGCCAAATGATTTGGCAATCTTGGCCACCTGTGGTGTCTGGTGCATGTATCATGTACTATATGTGCAGAGCAGAGAATGGTTGCCAACCTGTGATGTCCCCAGATCCAGAGTATCAATCTTTCTGGGAAGAATCATCTTTGATTATGCTTGTTAATTGTGCAGTTATGCTCGTTAATTGGGGGCGGTCAGAAGGTTCCTGTCTCATGCTTGCTGCTAATCATTTGCATTGTCATGTCTGATGTAACTGCTGCAGTGTGGTGGTTGGCCCTGGCATGTCTTCGTTTGAACATTTGTATGTACGCACTCCTGCCTCCTGTGATAGAATACTACATGGCTGTCTCCTGTGATTGGTCACAAGACCTCTACGGTTTTGTTGAGATGGCACTTTACTCCTAATCATTTGCATTCCATGAATCAAGAAAGCTTAGTCTGATTAATCAAGGCATGATAATGAAGGCATCACTTTTATTGACAGGTCCGAGGATAGAACAACAGGCTGCAGTTTCCCATTTGGTGCCAAGGAAAATGTCAGGAAACAACACAGAGATGCAGGCCCAGAGACTATACAAGGACAGTAGTTCGGTCCGGCCGGCTGCATCTTGCATAATTAGCTCTCAAAACAGGTTGCTGTTACCCGTCGCATCAAGCACTCTCAGGACCATCTCTGGCAATGTATACTAGGTACTGTACTGTGGTTGTTTTGGGGGGCAACGACAACAGAAACAGTCCTTTTGGTGAAAGATACACGGTCTAGATTGGTCTTTTAAGTTTTTATTACAATTTGCCGGTGTAAGTTTTGAAACTTATCAGTGCACGTTTTAAAAATCTGCGTCATGGCGCTCCAATCCCCTGTTGATATAGTGAAGACCGCGGGAGATGCATGAGTAAAATTAATATGCATTGCTCATTTTAATCCTGTTTTATTTCACTCAAAGTTGGGGAAGGTTGACATACAAAAACGAAGACCAGATCCACAGTAACGTGAGTCACCATCAATTTTCAAATGCCAACCTTCTTGTTGATAGATTAACTAAACGATTGTCTGCTAATTGATGGGAATACCTCTGCATTTTCTTGAGGTGGCACTTTTCTGTTGATCATCTGCATTCCATGGATCTAGAAACTATTGTCTGATTAATCAAGACATGATGATGAAGGCGTCATAAGCTCTGATGACAGGTTTAAGGATAGAACAAACAGCTTCCACTGCATTTGGAGCCAAGGAAAATGCCAGGAAGCACACAACAGAAGATGACGGCCACAGAGAAAATGCCAGGAACAGTAGTTGGGCCGGCTGCATCTTGCATCTTCATGAGTCACAATCAATTCTTCTCAAGCTTTTCAATTGATATTCCTACTCCTACTTGTATGTCTTCTGTTTCACATGAAGGCGCCAAAAATCATCAGATGCAGACCAAGAAGAGAAGGCGCCAAAAATCATCAGATGCAGACCAAGAAGACAACAATGTCGCCATCGCTTCTCCAATGTTATTTCGGCCGTTGGCTTTGGTTGCTTCTGTTCACGAGCGTGTGGGAGAACAGAGGGAACACTTGGCCCAGCGCTGCGTTGCCGCGCCACAACAAACGAACAGAGGATTTGGATCGCGCGGCCGGCATGCCGCCGCTGGCCGCCTCCCTGCTCGTCCCCTCCCCCTCGCCGCCGTGCCATCTCCTCCTCCGACGCCGACCTCGCGCCGGCAGCCTCCGGCCTCTGGCGCCTCGGCTGCCGCGCCTCTGGCGTGACGGGTGCCAGCCGCCTCGGCTCCGGCATGTCCGGCCGCCCCGCGCCGTGCGCATCATCGCGCCCGGCGACCAGTGGGGCAACTGGGCGTTCCTCCTCTCCGCCGCGGCCTTCGGCACCTGGTAACCGACACGCAAACCACCTGACCTGCCGGCCGAGACCCCTCAGCTCGCGCGCGCTACGTCCGTCCGTCCGTCGCCGCCGTGGAGGACTAGGAGTGATCCGTCCGTGTATGTGTTGGTCAGGGCGGAGGAGCGGACGGCGTGGGGCGCGGCGCTGAGCGGGGCGCTGGTGAGCATCCTGGCGGGGCTGGCGGCGGCGTCGGCCGGGTTGGTGGCGCCCGGCGCGCCCGCGCAGGCCGTCGTCATGGAGTACTTGCTCCCCGTCGCCGTGCCGCTCCTGCTCCTCGGCGCCGACCTCCACCGCGTCGTCCGCACCACCGGCGACCTCCTCAAGGCCTTCCTCATCGGATCAGGTAACCATAAAAAATCTTTTTTTTTTCTTATTCTATCTGAAGTTCTGAACAGAAATAGTTCTGAAGTTCAGATCGATGGATTTGGGATAAGAAAGATCATGTCTAATTAATCTTTGGCTCAATTGGATGTAGTTGCAACTGTAATCGGCACAACGCTGGCTTATCTGCTGTTCCCGATGCGGTCTCTCGGCCAGGATAGCTGGAAGATCGCCGCCGCTCTCATGGGGAGCTACATTGGCGGAGGTAATTGACTAACGAGCTCTCAATTGTTGGTACACTTGATCGAGCATGCCTGATGAACACTGTTATCTGATCTGATCTGAACTTATGTCTCATGGCGGCAGCGGTGAATTTCGTGGCGATCTCGGAGGCGCTGGGCACGACGCCGTCGGTGGTGGCGGCCGGCGTGGCGGCGGACAACCTCATCTCGGCGCTCTACTTCACGGCCCTCTTCGCGCTGGCGTCCAAGATACCGCCGGAGGCCAAGAGCGCCACGTCCCCGGAGGACGGCGGCGAGGGCGAGCCCCGGGGCAGCATGTCGGTGCTGCACGGCGGCGCGGCGCTGGCGCTGTCGTTCGCGATCTGCAGGGCCGGCACGGGGATCGCGGCGGGGCTGGGCGTGGCCGCCGGCGGCACGCTGCCGTGCGTGACGGCGTTGGTGGTGGCCCTGGCGACGGCGCTCCCGGGCTTGCTGGGCCGGCTCGCGCCGTCGGGGGAGACCATGGCGCTGATCCTCATGCAGGTGTTCTTCGCGGTGGTGGGCGCCAACGGCAGCGTGGTGGACGCGGTGACCAAGGCGCCCGCCGTGTTCGCCTTCGCAGCGGTGCAGGTGGCCGTGCACCTCGCCGTGGTGCTCGGGGCCGGGAGGCTGGCGGGGCTGGACAGGAAGCAGCTGCTCATCGCGTCCAACGCCAACGTCGGCGGGCCGACCACGGCCGCCGCCATGGCGACGGCGAAAGGGTGGGGCTCGCTCGTCGTGCCCGGCATCCTCGTCGGCATCTTCGGGATCTCCATCGCCACGTTCCTCGGCATCGGCTTCGGCATGTTCGTGCTCCGGAGAATGTCCGGCTTCTAGTCAGTGGCTTTCTTTCTTTCTTCTTCGCCTGCTAGAGTAGATTTTTTCGAGGCAATCTGGAGTGTTTTTAACTCTTTTATTTTTGACCGGCGAGTCAAACTTTTTTTTGAGGAAATGACATCATGGCTAGTTTATTTCATCTTAAATAACCACAAATCATCCAAAATAAGGCTATGGATAAAAAATGGAGGATTGTCCGTCCACACACCCCGGAGGATCAAACCTAGCCCTTCTAGCCAGCTCATGAGCCACGCGATTCGATTCACGCGCACAATGCTCAAAACTAACATGACCAAAATTATCACAAATCTCAAAGCAAACGATACGTGCCCTGCCACTACCGCCGCCACCGCAGTTTATGAATAAGGGCCGCTACTGAATTAACTGCTTCTTGATTAATCTCCTTGACCAATTCTGCATAATCTGTGTGAAATAGCAGTTTATGAATACCCAGAGAATCTGCAAATTGCAGACCCTTCTTCATAGCCATAGCTTCCGTTGTATATGCATCAATTGTTTTACCCATATAGGAGACCTCGGCTGCAATAATATCGCCAACATCATCTCTCAAGATCGTGCCAATGGAAGCAGTACTCCCTTCATACTCAAATGATGCATCTATATTCAGCTTGACTGTACCCTGCGGTGGTTTAGCCCACATTACCTATCTTGCCGGAAGTTGAACAGTGCCCGCCCGACAAAAGTTAAGAGCAAGAGCTTGTATTGATAAGGCAGAACATTCAAGTTCATGTATCTTTTTCTCCTTTTCCACTCTGTCTCCTTTCCCACTATAGGAACCAACTGGCCGCCGCAATCAAACATGATACAGGGATTTGAGCAAGATATAGTGGGTCATCAATCGAAGTACAAATCAGCTCCTCTAGTACAGCTGAACCGACCCTATCAACATTCAGAGTTCTTTCAACTTTTTCCAATAAACCCAAAATTTCCCAAACCATCTGCACTCGGGCACATTCAAATAAAGCATGCCGAATATCTTTAGTATACACCTGACACACAGGACATGCAGTATGAATTTTCATATGCTTGTTAGCAAGAATAGATTTACATGGAATAGCACACATGAAACTTGTTTCACTTGTCATATGCCTAATTATTTGTCTGGGCTGATGTTTAGTGTGATTAATTGTCTTGCGGTATAGTTTTTTTTCAACAAATGGAATATATTAATATTGCGAAGCTTGCAGTATGTATACTTTTTTTCGACATACGAAATATATTATTATCGAGAAGATACGTATTACAATATAGTTATTTAATATTAGGTGATCGATCGCCTG